CTCGTCGTCCACCGGCTCTTCGCGCTCGCCCTACCCCTATCCGTACTCGCCTCGCTGGCGGCCAGCGCCGCCATGCTGCTCCTCTCCTCGCTCAACTACCCCGGCGGCGACGCCGTCGCGGAGCTGTTCCGCCTGGCGCCCGCTTCCGCCACGACGCTCGGCGAGACAGTCGCCGTGCACGCCGACGTCCTCACCTGCATGACGGGCCTCACCCTCTTTGGGCAGAACCCGCACGGCCTGCCCCTCGCCCACGGCGCGCCGTCGCCGCTCCCGCCCGGCGTCGCCCGGCCGCTGCTGCTCTTTGACAAGACTGAGGACGAGGCGGCGCTGGCCCGGGCCGACTTTTGGACGCGGTTCGACTATGTCCTCGTCGAGGACCCCGGCAAAGTCGCCGGCGGCCAGTGGCGGACGATTGGCGTCGTGCAAGGCTACGACGGCGTTGAGGTGCTGCGGCCCGGTGCCACGGCCGGCGGTGATGATGACAGCGACGACGTTGAGGCCAACCCGCAAGTAGCCAGCCTGCGGCCCCCCGTGCTCGGCCGCGGCCTCGTGGTGCGCAACCTTCGCAATCTCGTGCGAAGCATCACAGGCGGCTGGTATGCCGGGCCGCGCATGGCGCCGCGCATACACATCATGCAGCAAATCACGGCGCAGTCGAGCCCAGGGAAAGCCGCTGTAGAATAAACTGATTGTAACTCAAGTACATACAACACATGTAAATCATCAAATTACAGCCTCATTTTTACGTTTTAGGGACCTGTTCCTTTCGTCGAAACTCTTTTTTGTATTACGTAGGTAGTGGCCAGTATATATGGAGAGAAAAAAAAGGAAACAAACATGAGCATGTCTGCATATATATATATATGCCCATTATGAGTCGCTATTTGCTGAATGGGGCATGGAAGAAAACACCAACAAGCAAACAATAACGCCAGAGCTCTCCCAGAACAAAAAACTACAACGGTCAATGCCAACAAGGAACCAGGTGCAGAGCCGCCAAAAACCGACATCCCGTGTCGCTCATCAAGTACCATCCTCCACCCTCTCTCCAGTTCCGTACAAGCGCAAAATCCAGAAACCAACAAATATCAATAAGAAAAAAAGGGCTAAGGAACCGCTATTAAAATGGAAAGGGCAAAACGGGACCTGTTCCGCATATCGAAAACAGCTGCGTGTAGCGCGGTCAGTATCCAATAAATCATGTCGAATATTCAAAAGGTGGCGAACAAGTCCGCCTCAGGGTCTAGTCGCTGCTGGCTTCAATCTGCTTCGTGTTGTCGTCGGGGAGGGGCCCATAGAGCTGCCTGTATCGCGCCAGCTCCTCTTGCTGCTTCTTGAAGTGATCAAAGATGGCCGCCATGGGTGCGCGCAGGTCGTTAAGCTCCTTCAGCACAACGTTGCCCTTGGCGAGGTGGCGCATCGCCAGGGTGGACACGCATGTCTCGATCCGGCTGACTTGGTGCTCCATAAAGTTGACGAGGAACCGCTCCGTCACTTCGCCACCCCGCGTCTTCAGACGCTCCATCAGCTCCGTCTCGGGCGGCTGCAGGCCCGGGCCGCGCACCTCCTCCAGCGTGCTGCACAGCATCTCCAGTCGCAGGCTAATCTTCCAGAGCGCCCAAATGTTTTCGGGGTCAAACGAGAGATCGCCGCCGGGCGCAACAGCAGCGGGTTTCTCGAGCTCATCGCGCCGTTCGTGCTGAGTGTGGTACTCGGTGCGACCGGCGAGCGCGTGAGGATACAGCGAGTAGACAATCTCGGGATTTTCGAGGCCCTTCAGCTTTTTCTCGCCCATCTCTTTGACTTCAAATCCTTGCGAGGTGAGGCTGCGGAGGTCTTTGCGGATAGCACTGGCGTAGGATTCGTCATCATATCCCTCCTCTGATCCTGCAGAGCCAGACCGGTCCGTGTCCTGGTAGTTTTCTAGGCATCGTTGGATCTCGGAAATAAAGTCAGACGATACAGTGATCTGGCCACCGTCTGCTACCGCCGAAATTCGGGATGCCTTGTTGACCATGGGACCGAAGTAGTCCATGCGACGAGTGACCGGATCAGTCTCGCTCACACAGTCACCAAAGTGAATACCCATACGCACTGACAAGCCCTTGAAAATCAGCGTGTTGTCCTTATCGTACACGGCTTGACCAGACATGGAGCTGAGAATCTCAGATGGCCAGGTGACCTCCAAGAGCTCGTTTTGAACGGCGAAGCACCACAGCAGCGCAGAGGTGCCGGTTGGGAAAGATACCATAAATGCATCTCCTTCCGTCTTGACTTCATAACCACCAATGCGTCGCAGCTGTCGTCGCATCACTTCGTTGTGGAGCTTGATACCTGATCGCATGGCGGTAGGATACATTTCCCAGAGCGTCGTAGAGTTCTTGATGTCAGTAAAGACAATGGACACATTGCCAGTCGGCGCAGTGATTTCAGCTTCCAAACGATTCAGTGACGAGTCCAGCACATCTCCCTTGGTCTTGCGGCCTCTTCTCGTAGAGAGGACCTGCGCATCATCAGGGACGCCAGACGGGTAGAGTGACATGCTAGTGCCACGGTGCAGTCGAGATCGCTCCATTCTGCGCTTCAAGTCGGCAATGCTGATCATCATGACCATAATCTTTCCAGAAGAGCCGTAGGCCATGGCGAGGTCGCGCAGTTTTTGGGCAGCACGCATCAGATCCTGGCGTTCAGATCGAGCTACATCAGTGATCAAACCGGGAGAGAGATACTCCCAGAGCTCACTGGTGGCGATGAGGATGATCTCATCATGCTCTTGAATCGTCATCTGGCGAACGTGCGGCGCAGCTTGGACAGCAGGCATCAAGTCTACATACCCAAAAGCACGAGACACTTCTAGCAAGTCGTTGAGGCGACCATTACGAGATACCCAGCCGCCAGCTTCACGAATGCGAGACCGCTCACTCGGCTCAGCAGGGTCGTGTTTATGCGTCAGCATTTGGTGCTTGCCATCGGTCTGGATGACCATGGCCTGGGCATTGCCAATATTAGCAACATAGAGATCCATGCCTTGCAGATATAATACTGTGGCAACACCTCCAGAATTGAGATCTTCCTTGCTGAGGACGACTGGCTGTGCAGAGCCCCTGTGCGACTTCTTAGGGCGGTCTTCAGCGTGCTGCACAGCAATAGAGACAAGGTCTTTGTTGAGCGAAAGGAATGCTCGGCGCAGGGCATCGACTGGAGTCTCATTCTTGCGCGTCTTGAGGGCCTTGAGCTCCATGGCGAAAATATGGCCGAAATTCTCATGCAAGTACTTGGCAATTTTGGATCCGCCACTGGACAGTGCTTGACCATCAAACAAGCCTAGGAGCATTTCGGTATCTGAAGAATTGAATCGCGGCACCACCAAATCCACAGTAGACAGATGCTCGTTCTTGCCGAGGGTATCCGCCATACCGTAGGGAAGGTGACCGGCCAGCGAACCGGAAGTACGCACTCGCTTGTCTTCGCTTTGATCGGGAATGCTGGGTTGGGTGAGAGTCACGTCCATCAGTCCTAAAACTCGGAGATTGAGGAGTCTGCTGAAGTCGGTGTACTCCTCACGATTCACTGCGCCAGGACCGCCAGGACCCCAAGCGCTTTGCTTGATCTCGAGTCGCTTGTTGCCGGATAGGTTGAGGTACCGCAGATTCGGGTTTAAGTTCCAGTTCCAGTCGTAAGGCACGTTGGAAATATTGTATTTCAGCGAGTTGTTGCCGCAGTCAAGAACAGCCAGCTTCTTGGCCCTTGAAATATCAGCTGGAAGGTTGGTAAACTTGTTCCCGTTAATATACAATGCTTGGAGCAGGCTGGTTTCTTCCAAATCATCGGCCGGTAGCGTCGTCAGGCCGTTGCCGGAAAGATACAATTCGACGAGCTGCGGCCAGCTCTTGATGGATCGCTGAGGCATGTCGCCAATCTCTTCGTTGTAGGATAAGTTGAGGATGCGAAGCTCGGTGAGTAATGTAATTTGGTCAAAGACATCGTCGTCTAGTCTGTTGTCTGCAAGAGATAAATTACGGAGCGAGCCGGCGAATGTATTCGTAAACCTCGAGGACATTCCAGAGTCTTTCCTAGAGGTGGACGGTGGAGGCGTAACGGTAGAGGAGGTAGTCTGTGAGGCTGTTCGCGAAACAACGGACGTTTTACGCCCGCCCTTGCCATACACAGATACAACAGAGCTCTTCCGGTCCGGTTGGGTTGGTGAAGGCCCAACACTCAGCAAGGTACTGGAAGCCTGGCTGGGACGCCGGTCGTCTCCAAGTTCTTCTGTGCTTGGCGTGGTAGAGAGAGGTACGAGCGGGCCAGTTCTGCCGTTCTGCGAGGGAGGTGGGCCAGCAGAGTCCTCACCGGGGACGCGCGGCGGACGGGAAGCCGGTTTTGGAAAGTTGTCGAGAACGTTGGACGATGCATTGAGAATTTCGAGCTTGTTGGCCCACCAAATTTCAGTTGGGAGTTTCGAAATATTGTTTCCTCGCACGTCCAGTACCCTGAGTTCTGTGAGACACCCAATTTGTGGAGGCAGCTCGCCAACAGAGTTATTGGCAATGCTAAAATGCTCCAGTCGGCTCAAGGCTCCAAGCTGCTGTGGCAACGATACAAAGTAGTTTTTGTCAAGCACCAGTTGCTCGAGGTTCATCATATGCGCAAAGGCCGAATCAATACTCGCCAACTGAGCGTGTGAGAGGTTAAGCGTCTTGAGAGTGGGCAAAGGCGCGGTAATCTCGAACTTGTTTAGAGGATTGGAATTGAGCTTCAGAAGACGAATACGCTCGAAGCCACCCACGAAGGATGAGATCTGGTTGTGCGCAGCGTGCAGGATTTCCAGTTTCGGCAGTTCGGAGATGACGTCAATGTTGGTGATGTGGTTGTACTTGATGTCAAGCTCACGCAGGCTAATCAGATCTCGGAACGTTTGAGGCACCTCGCTGCCCAGTCGGTTGTTGGTAATGAGCAACTTTTCCAGGTTCTTGAGTTGTCCAATCCCGTCCGGTAATTCGCCAATTGAATTAAAACTGAGGTCAAGATCAACCAAGCTCTGTAATTCGCAGATGAACTTCGGGAAGGTGTCGAGAAAATTGGAGGAGATGTTGAGCGTTCGGAGAGACTGGTATGCGTTGAAGTATGGTGGGATATGCGTCAAACGGTTATTGGCAAGGTTCATTTTTAAGAGACCCGTTAGCGTATCCAGCTCAGCATTGTCGAGTTGCTCGACACGATTGTTGGAGACGTCTAGGTAGGTGAGCTTGGCCGCTCTGCAGAGGCTGAGCGGTAGCTTTCTCGCTTCGTTATTGTTGAACTTGATGTCTCGCAATTGCTTGCATGACTGGATGAAATCTCGCGGGACGTCGAGAGACAGGTTGCGCGACAGATTGAGGGAAATGATGTCGGCTGCTTTCAGGTAAAGCGAAATAGGAATAGTGACCAAGTTGCGGGCAGAAAGGTCGACGTAATTGAGCTTTTGTTGTTGCGACATGCCGAGATCCATGGTTCTAGCGTGGAAGTCGCTCTCACGCGCTGACAAGAACATGAATCGGCATAAATAGCCGTTGTCCTCTCGGCCGAGGTCCTCGATCCGATCCTTTTCCTCGTAGCCAACTTGCTGAAATAGACGCTTCTGTATTAGTAGTGGCCGGTCTTGTGGTGTCAAAACGCGGATTAAATCGTGCTTCTTCATTATAATGTTATAGTTTTCGAGGCCGTCGACAACATATGTCTTCTTCATGACTTGTGTGATGACGTCGCTGACAGTAGAGTCGAGAGGCATCGCATGCGTAAGAAATGTACCGTCGGATCGAAATATGCGGATGCAGTATGGCGATTGCTTTTCCTCGGAATCAGGCGGGCAGGCGGCTTCTTCGGTTTCAGGGGCCTCGTCAGTTTGATCTTCGGCATTGCGGCGCACAGCCCAACTGTCAGGCGCATCCCACTGGCCTTTTGGATCAGGGGGGCCGGTGTCAATATCCCCTTCCAAGCTCTTGAGAAAGCTGGAGTCCAACGGTGTTAACGGAGGGGGCCTCGTCAATATGCCTTCCATGTCGTTTAGATTGGTGTCAAGATGATAGACGTGGCCAGCAGCCCGATGCTCGGTTGGTCCGATGGCCTCGTCATGGTAGTCGGGTTGTCGGAAGTTCCGGCTCTTCTTGGAGAATGGGAATTTGTTATTAAACGTCGTCGATCGAGCCGCGTCTGGCGTGCCAGCGCTCCACTCGGGTGGGATTGGTGAAGGCGTTTCGGTTCGAGCAAAGTCAGCTTTGGAGAGCTTGTTGGAGAGCGACTTTGTTGACGGAGGCAGATCTCGCAGCTTCGAGCCGTTTTCTTCTCTATCTTTATGTCGCCGCAAGCGCCCCAAAATGCCGCGCTTGCCATGTCCGGGAGATGCATGGCCGTCTGTCTGGCCAGTGCGTGAGGCGGGTACACTGCTGGCGCTGGGGGTCGGGCTCTGTGCCCTCGATTTTGTCTTGTACATGACCGAAGCCATTCCTCGGTCGCGGGGATGTTGCAGGCTAGCGGCGGACTCTTCTCGGCTCGTTGATGGCCTCAGTGCGCGAGGATCATCGTTACTCTTGTTATGTCGATGGTGGTGGTGATGGTGGTGGCTCGGCAAAATAGAGTGACCAGATCTGGCAGAGGAGGAGGACTTGGGCGGGGGTTCGCGAGATGACCCTTCGTTCATGTAACGGTCTCGATCGGGTCCGGTCATCGTATCCCTTACGGGGGCCTCGCCATAGCGTGCAATGTCCTGTTTGATTGTGTTAGAAGTTGTGATAGGTGCCACGGGTGCCACGGAGACTGCAAAGTGCAAACGGGGGCTAAGTAGCAACTAGTGAATGGGAAATTTGGCAGTTCGCGCCAACTGGGTCAGAAGTCTGGGCGCAATGAGCCGGCGAGGGGCAAATTAAGCGCCTGGGCGACTCTGCTGTCATGACATCGGAGCATGAGGCTATAAAAAGGGCAATGGCCTCTATTCTCCCTTTTTTCGTGGTTCAATTTCTCAATCCTGCTTACCGTGTTATCTTGATAAAGAAATGGTACGACCTCGGGCGCGGGCACGGGTGTCCTCGGCCGGGACGAAGCTGGCGACGCTTCTCTGTCGGTAGCATTTGAATGATGGCGCTCTTGGCCAGGGCGCGTATGGCTGTAGGAGCGAGAGCGCTGGTCTTTTCCTATCGAGCCCGGCAAGCTGCTCTCGGAGCTATCGCGACCTGGAAACTCTTCGCCAAAGAAGCCCTGAAGTTTACGGAATCCGCCCCTTGGGACGCTAGCCTTGGATCCTTGGCTGCTGGCCGTGGTCGCGACGCTAGCAGCGGATGGTCTCCTCGCATCGTGATTATAGTAAATGGCATCGGGCGAGTCGTAGCTCACTGACAGCTGGCCGGTGCGAGGTGCGGATGGGTGCAGAGCCGGGGAGACTTGGTGGGAATTAACGGAAATACTATCGGTAGAATCGTTGTAGAAGCTCAAGGGCAGCGAATTGCCGTTGCCGCCGGGCGCCGAGTTGCTGTGAGACATCCAGGGCGCAACGAGAGCGGTGGGAGGGTTGTTGCTGGAGATTGAGTTGCTGGCTCGGGGTTGGTCGAGGATGGCTAGGTCGCGGCGATAGTTGTTGAAGTCGCCGAAACGGCGCTCATGGTTGGAGAGGTTGGAGTTGACGGAGGAGGGGGACATGGCGCCTCGAGCAGCGACAGTCGAAGTGGTAGGCGAAACTTGCGAGTCATCTCTTGAGGAGCTAGAGCAAGTAGGTGAGCGACCGACGGTCGGTGAGGTGGCTAGAGGGGCGGTCTGAATTATGATAGCGTACCTTTGTACAAGAGGGGTGCTGTCAATGCTGAGACGCGACGGGATGTTGTAGCGCGAAGCGCCAGGCGGAACCGGCGTGGGCGTGGCGGGAATGATGGTGACGGAGGACGATCGTGTGCTGCCAGAAGGGAGGGTGTTGGTTGGAAGGGAGCCGTGGGCAGCCGCCAAATACTCATTCTCGGACATCATCACAGGCCTGCAGCAACGAGCAAGGCCATATCCTTGAGGTGAGCCGGGCTCAAGGTGACAGCGGAGGGGTCGTGCGTCTCTGAAAGGGTGCTGGGCTAGCTGAAGGAGCTACGTCGACATGCTGGTCGCGGGCGGAGGGCAGGGCAGGGCAGGGCTATGACGGAGGAAGCCGGGGCGAGAGAGGGCGCTGCAGAGACGAATTGCGAATCGGCGGAGGCGATGTAATGAGGACGGGTTCACGACGATGATTTCGAGCGGATGGCGAGGGAGAGCGCGGTATGCCAGAATCTGCTGTTTGGCAGGCTGGGGGGGGTGTTTGGGGCGAAGAAGCTGTCGATGACTGGCGCGCCTGGGGTGGGCACGAAGCGGGCAGCGGGACAGTGGACGGGCAGCCGGAGAGTGAGAGTTTGAGAGGGAGAGGCAAAAAAGGCAACGAGGCTGCCAAGGTTGCGGCATGTTTGGCGGACTCTCAGTGGACGCAGAGACACTTTTTGGTGGGTTCAGCGGCCAAAAGCCGGTGGCGGCCGCTAAAGGTTAGTGGGCAATCCGCCAAAAAATAGCGCGCTACCTAGTTGCAGTTCTACTAAGGCTGCAGGAGGTAGTTATAACATAGTAGGTAGGCAGATGCCTGTCTAGAATACAAGTAAATCAAAAATATTCATCAATTCCGACATGTTCTCAATGGAAATACCCAGCCCACTTACTAGGTACTAACTACCAGGTACCTAAGTTGCTAAGGTAGGTGGTTTGGTGGTTTGGTGGTTTGGCCTGTCAGAAACACGCCCCTCTTCCACGTAGCCGAACACGACCCTTGCTTGACCTTATTACATATTATTACCAACAACTCGCAAACTGCCACCAAGTAATAATGCCTGCAGCCTTCATCACATCATCATCAATCCCTCCCTCGGCTCCGTCCCAGCATCTTCCATCCAAAACCAGCAGCCAGCCAGCCACTCACACATGCCACCCTGGCCCTTTTGGCCTCGCCAGCCCTTTCTGCAGCCCTGACACGATGCTACCCGAGCTGCCCTTGGACTCCGTGAAACGCAGGCTGCTTCACTCCCCTCGCTGCATCACCAGGTCGCCGAGCGCGGCTGCGCGCTGCGACACAGGCAGTCTCTGCGGTCTGCGCCGCACACCGAAGGCCTTATTAATAAGAGAGTCCCTTGATTCTTACGTGCACTTTTCGCTTTGCTACGTTGCGCCACCCCAAGTGCCGGGCCGGGTGAAGCGGCGTTCCTACTGCTAACTAGGCCAGATGTCTCGGCCTGGTGGTTAAAATTGGATTTGGGCGAAATTGGGCAGATTTTTCGCCTGGAGAGGGCGAGAGACGACCTGGCCTAACTAGTTAGTTACTCGCCGGGAGCCCGCTGGGTGATTTTCTTGATTGCCCTGACGCAAACCCCCACGGCCGCAGCACTCAATCCTCCAGCGTTGACACCATCGCAAACGCTCCGGCCAACGGATTCGACCTCGCCGGGCGGCAGCCTTCATCGCTGCAGGGGCCCTCTTCCTTCCCTGCAAGCCAACCAGCCAAGTAGCGGAATGCTGCTATTGGCGAAGCCGATGAGGGGGGCCATCGTGGAGCGGCTAGGCAAGCGGCCTGGTGCGTGCAGCGCGGGTCGGGCGGACTTGGTTTGTCCTTTTGTCTACTTCGTAATACTCCGTACAGAGTAGACAGTACGGGATGTATGCTGCAGCTGCGCACCACCGTTGTTTAATCTCGGCTGGGTCCAAACTAGCTGATGATTGCTTTGCTAGCTCCCGTCCAGGCAAGCCCACTTGAACAAGCTAAAGATGTTGCTGTCAAACTCCTTCAAGGGGTGGGTGCATACATGCCTCATGCGCTTGAAAGTATCATGGTATATTTAACCACCCCGTGCGCGATAGATCACTGGCTGCCCAAGTGTTGTCAAGCTCTATGACCACGGGAGCTAGTTGCGTAGTCCTCACCGAGAGTGGCCAGCAACACACAGAGGGTCGTATACCATCACTCCTGGATCTTTTCATATAACTGGTGTAACTACTGGTTTACTGGTTGGAATCGGCGTCCAAAGTGCCCGGAAAGTCGGCTCAAAACATGCATGGCATGCAGGTCGCAGCTCGCTACCTCGAAACCCCCGCGAAACTGCTGCATCGCAAATGCCGAAGTGGCCGGCTCAAAAGAGATCCTTGCGAAGAGAAAGGCCGAACTAACTCATTGCAGCAGAAAAGGCACCCAAAATAACTCAATGAGACCCTGATCTACCATAGAGTTCGTATTAACGCGTCGATTGCTAAGATGGACTTTGGTGGCTCCGTAGCCAGGTCACAGTTCCAAACGGCAATGTCCATCCCTTTTACTATTTGAATTGTGCCATTGTGGGCAAAATATTGTGCGCCACTTCGTCCAATAGTCAAACTTCGCCACGAGGCTGAACATTGCCAAGCCACCAGGACAACCTTTCCTACCCCTGAGAAACATGAGATACATACTCTGTACATACGTAGCAAATGGTTATCTGGAGGGATGCCGATCATCTGCCCGGGTCAACACACCAAGCAGCAATGCGCTGGGTGATAACTCGGACGCACCCCAAACACATCAGAACCCTTCAGTCCATGGCCTCGTACGAGAGCGCAACCTTCGCATAAGCGCTCCTGAAAATGAGAGAAAACAGCCAGCTACGAAAGATTAGCGAGTAGCGAGCATGGGCAAAGAGAAACCTCCCATAGGCACAGAACGCGCCAGTTGCGCCAACCCATCCCCTACAGGGTAGTACTACCGGGACCAAGCACAGCTGGCCTTGACAATTTATTAACCACACCACCAGAGCTATTAACCAAAAGTAGGGTTATACTATAATGATTAACTACGCTCTAATCCTACGCTACTAAAATTTATATAGGAAGGACAGCGCTACTGAGTAAGCTGTCAATTCCACCTATGATAAGCACTTGTGGACGTGGGTGGTATGATTCCTCACCCTGCTATGTAGACGCTATGACTCTGACACTCTAACACTTCGATACTCTGACATGATACTATGTATAGGCGGCTAAAGCGGTATCCCTTGGATGTAAAACCAATCGAACCTAGAAGTAAGAAAGTTGTAGTTTCATAAAAGACCTGTGAGGGAAATAGGGGTTTAAGGATCGCCCTCCCTTGAATAGATGTAAAGTAGCTTCAGTAAGGGCTCTCCTTGGAGTACTCTCTTTTTCTCCTGGTAAACGATTCCTTCAACCAAGTCGCACACGATCTTGTTTATGCACCTATACCGTCTTAGGGTCCAGGGTCTGTTTCAATTTCACGTCAAACAGCATGAAACAATAAACGTCACTGTCCAGCAGTGCGGAGGTGGCTGCAACAAAATGCATATGCAACGAGTTCAAGTTTCGTAGCTGATTACTGATGACGCTTATCTCCCGTTATTACGGAGAGTGCTCCGATCGGGGTCTCTCTCGTGGCCACACGGACCGGCCCTCCTGACAGTATTACAGTAGCTATGATGACGCTTATCTCCCGTTATTGCGGAGAGTGCTCCGCTCGGGGTCGCAACGATCAAGTATCCGTCACTACAATCATGGAAACGAGATAGGCTATAGAAGGGAGACGGACCGGCCCTCCAGACAGCATTACAGTAGCTATGATGACGCTTATCTCCCGTTATTGCGGAGAGTTGCTCCGATCGGGGTCTCTCTCGTGGCCACACGGACCGGCTCTCCAGACAGGATAACCTGACTTATTCGCTTAGGAACGGGGCCCTCGGAAGACGTTTTAGTCCACTCCGTATTCGCAAGTCCAATATATATACAACGTGCTCGCCACCACTTCCAGGTCCTGAGAATGCGTACTCCTTCATTCTACCTTCAAATTAAATCCAAAGCAATTTGCAATCTCATAACTCTTCACATCATTACACCAAAGGCCGACAAAATGTCTCAAAATACAGACCTAGCCTACGAGACTCACTTTGCTGGTCCTCTCTGGCTTCGCGAAGGAGTTGGCGCCTTGTATGCCAAAGGTGAAGTCCACACTGGACCATTCTCTGAGCCGCTTCTTCGCAAGGCAGGTCTTGATAAGATCCCTCCAAAGGACCAAGTAGACATCTTGGATCTGTGTTGCGGAACTGGAATCACGACTGCCACATTGCACAAGCTTTTCAAGGAGCAGGGAATACAAGACAATGTGAATTTGACGTGCGGGGACCTGTCCGCTGGGCAACTCCAGTTCTTGGGCCGGAGGATCCAAGAGAATCAATGGAAGAATACCAAGATTACGAAGATGGATGCTCAGGTACTTTGTCTCTTTACTGCATAGGAAGGTCATGTACTGACGGTGAACAGAAAACTGGTCTGCCAGATGACTCATTCGATTACATCACTTGCGTCTTTGGGCTCATGGTTATTCCAGATTCTCAGGCGGCTTTGGAGGGTATGTTTATACGTGCATTCTGTACGGCGCCGAAGCTGACTCGAGTTAGAATGCTACCGTATGGTCAAACCGGGAGGTACTGTCGCCTTGACGGTCTGGCACAAGGAGCTGTGGAGCGACGAAGTTCGCGATGCCCTTTGTCAACTCCCTGGGTACCCCAATTGGCCAGAATCCTCGGATGAGCTGATCAACGCCTGGGCTCAAGGGCCCTGGTCCAACCTTCATTACGTCCGCTCAATGCTGCACCGCCGAGGCTTTGTCGATATTGAACTGCAAACGAAGAGTATCATGATTGAATTTAACGATGCAGAGGACTTTTATGAGGTATATGACGCCTTCATTGAGTGGGTTACAGACAGGTACTGGACAGAGGAGGAGAAGAAGATTTGTCGGCCGTTGGTTCGAGCGGCCATTATTCGCTTCCTGGATGGCAAGTATGGAAAGGGAAAGCCGTTTGCCATCGAAAAGGTTGGGATCATGGCTACGGCAAAGGCCCCTCTGTCGTAGGAAAGACATTTCCAGGCATGATCTTTCTCTGGCAGAAAGATGATTCCGACCAGTGCTGGAAACTGATGCTTATGATACCGGAACTGGAGTGAGTTTTAGCTCGTATGAGGCAGTGTTTTTGGTTTCGGTTTAGTTATTCTCAATCAACTCGTCAGCATACGTTTCCTCGTAACGGAATTTCGTGACATGCGCTTCGACCAGGACAGCGACAAACAAAGAGCTAGCTTCTATCCTCCTTGAGCAAGAACGAACCCGGCCGCTCTACAGCCGACATGACTACTTTAAGAGACAGACGAGTCCGCATTTTGCAGTCGCTCAGTCACAGCCTCGACGACACCGTCCTCGCGCTAGGACCGGATGACCGCCCGATCGCATTATCGCCCTCACCCACCTACACTAGTGTTTCCATATCTCCCCTGAAACGAGCCTTTTAGGGCTAATTAAAACACTTAGGGCCCACTGGGCAAGACAAAGAGGTTACAGCTCTTATTAGTCTTGTGGTTAATAAATAGTCAAGGCCAGCATAGCCGGGCTTCACTGGTGTCTACCAACGGAGACTCGGACATTTGGCGAGATCTTGCATCTAAATTCAGTCAAATTATCAGAATTCGTCGCGCTTTTTGTTGATGTTCTTACGCAGTGCTGCCGTTGTCTTACAGGCTCCGTTGTTGGCCTCGTCAGTTCCTGACTTGCTCCAGATATATTTCATCACCACCGTAGGGCGTGGCTGAAGCCAGATTTTAGCGGCTATACCAGATCATGGTCATGGAGAACTGAAATTCATTTTCTCTTCTAGTCTGTCTAAAAACGGGTACATGCTGGTCAACTCAGCTGCCCAACTGCATCGCCATACCAAGGTACTTTTGACGTATGCTGGACCGCGCTGGGAACAAAACATGTCTGCGAAAGTAATACGGCCCATTGCTTCCATCAGCTCTTGCGCTTTAAGCAACTACCTCAAGCCAGTCCGAAGCGGCAACAGCGCCAGTCCAGGCTGGCCCAGTCTCGACGTATCCGACCCATTGGTTGACGGCTTGATACTTCTTCATGGCCATCTTCCTGGAGCTGGTGGCGCAGGTCGCAGACAAGGTCAAACCTGGAGGGAAAAAAGGGGATTAGAGTCAGTTTTCTCTCGGTTCTCGGTACCGGCGTGGCAACATTGCATACCTTGGAACGCCCACGGGTCTCCAGCTCCGTTCGACCCATGGTTATCAAGTAAATGGAGCTCCTTGAGGTCGCGGATATCAACTTGGTCTTTGCCAAAGATGGCCTTGAGATCGATCTTGCCGTCCTTGTGGAAGGTATAGTCGACGCTCTCCCCCAAATCAATCGTCTTGCCGTCGCTGATGCTGAATGCCAGCGCGTCATATGTGCCGCCCCCGTACCATTCGGCCAACTTGAAGTCATAGGACAACTCTTTGATAATGGCGCAAGGAGGCGCAAAGGCCCAGTCACCAGGCACGATGGGGAAAGTGGCCACGGTTTTCTTCTCGGTCTTGGCCCAGAACCAACCACCAGGGTGCCCGTACCAGGCATTCAGACCGACAAGTGAGTCGTCCTTGGCCGCAAAGCCGGGATCAGCGCAGTCGGCGCGGATCTGGATATCTGCGTTGGAGAGATGACGGTTAGTTTCCAGAGAGTACATGTGAATCCGCTCCTCATACCTTCAACTTGCCACTCATCATTGATGCCAGGGCCGCCAAATCGCCACGGTTGGTTGGCGATGCCCGCAGCATTCAGGGTGAGCTTGTTGATGCCAGAGACTTCAATTTCATCCTTCTTGTACGATTCCTGCATATTAACCGTTGCCCAGGTATGAGATCCTCGCTCCGGCTGTGTGGAAACATGCAGAGTTGCGTTACCAGCCGGGCCTTCGAGAGTAGCGCCAATGTCATCCCAGCTTCCCGACGCGAGATCGTTGGAGAAGGCGACACCAAGCTGGATGTTTTTGATTTTCTTGCAGGGCACGGGTATGTCTTCCGTCAGCAAGATTTGCTGAGCCCGCTCACAACCGAACTTCTTGGGCGCTACTCTGGAGGGATTGGGTGTTGCTGTAAAGGTCAGCAACGGGTCGTGGTTAGGGTTTGTCAGGCAGATGTAACAAGTACCTTGTCGAGGGATCATCTTAACCTCTCTTCGCGTTGACCTCTCGCTGAGATGATTTCTGGTCAGCATGGCGGCGAGAAGGGTAACACAATTGAGCTGCGCAAAGTTGCCCGCCCGCAAGTCGGCCAATTCCTGGTCGGTGGGCGCGGGCACTGCTTGGGCTCTGAGAGTCTCCTGGAGCTGGTTGAGTCTCGCTTCCTGCTCTGCCGTCTCAACATGATTCCGGACGTAGTCCTGGTGTGTCCACGTATGCATCTCGCCCCTCTCGTGCTCCGCGTGTATCTGTAGAGCAGTGATCATGGTACCTGTCCGGCCATGTCCGTAGCCACACCAGACCAGCGTATTACCGGTGCTGCGGTGTTGGACGAAAGCATCCCAGCCACGTTGGAAATCCTGGGCGGTGGCGGCCTCGAAGTCGGGGACGGGCAGAGGGGTATAGTCAATTCCAGCATCGGCAAGGGCCTTTTTGATCGTCTCGTCGTTGGCTTCGTGGTTGGCGCTGATGACATGCGTGACGTTGTACAGTCTAAAGGCCGCAATGGTGTCAGGAGTGATCTTCTGATCCGAATCTTCCCCCTGGTAGTTAGGCGCTGATGAGCGAGCAAGCCCGTCACCGGGCGACATGTAGTCGACGACAAACTCGAATCGATACAGTCCGCCCTTTTCCGCGGCGGCGTTGGACGGTCCCGCGGCGGCGTCGTCCGGTCCCGGGGCCTTGGACGGGCCTGCTAAACTGTGAGTGACTCTACACGATATTCTTCTTTGCAAGGTCGAAGCTTACCAAGCCCACGCGCAACAATCGTGTTTTTGGCCCCGTTCGCTGGAACAGCAGTGGCAGTTGCCGCCCAGGCAAGCGCCAGCAGTGCCTTGCCGAGAAGCATCTTGTCGAGTCAAGAGAATGGTAGGTTTTTTTGTATAGCGAATGGCGTAAAATGAGAAAAGTGCTAAGTGAATGGTGACTGTCTGAGTCTGAATGGAGATGAGTTTGGCCTCTAGCTGGTGCCGCCGCCTCTATATATAGTTGCTTCCGCTCCGGCGGCTGGTGCCTGTGTGCACGATATTGACATCTCGCCATGCTGTACACGTCATTACGGCAATGGAAAGAGCTTGATGACTAGCAGCTCGTGACGCGGCATTGAAGAAGGAAATTGCCATCATGTCCGTCCCTGTACGGCTGTGCCCATGTCTCTAACAAAATACTTACTCCATAACCCGGCGTATAGAAAGAGCAGCCGAGTTGTGCCAAAATGGAGACAGACTTCTTGGCAATGCCACAGATACCTTTGCAGGAAGGCTCATTAATAGCGAGCATGGCGACGTCTGCCTGGGCGGCTGTGGATTATTGATGCTGTCTTCTCGGCGGCAGTGATGTACCGCAGCAAGCTACAGAAGTATTTCGAAAGCCCTAAAGCTATAAATGCTTGCTTTTTAAGAGAGGTTTGTTAGTTTTTCTGTACCGGCTACGTTGTGGCTTTGAAACTGGACAGGATGCACTCCCTAGGACCGGCCTCTCCCATGTGTCCATCGATCGCATGGCGCGTCCAGCAGAGCAAATGATAGTTCCCGTCCGGCGCGGCCCTAATCTTCTTCGGCAGTTTGCGTCTGGTGGCGGGTCTAGGCATAATGCCGGCCAAAAAGTGGTTCGATATAACGAGGTGAACAATATGCTCAGCTGACTCGGGCTTCTGCGGCGCGGGTACCGAGCATGAGTTATGAACCACTCTGATTTATTCGCAGGAAGATTGTCAGGGCCATCTTCCGTTCGAACCCACCCTTTGGTTATGGCATTTCCGGACGTAGTCAGGTGCATATAGATCTGAGTTGTAAGTCCCTACCTAAGTAATGGTAGCCATCCCAACCATTGACGCTGGCAGGGCGCTCCCACTCTTCGCAGTAACCCTCACAAAGTCACCGATCAAACTTTATGTAGTTGGGAAAGGAACGTCTTCTGCATAAAGTCAATCGGTCAATACGAATGCGTTTCCTCCCACGCGCTTATCATACCATACCAAAATTTAGTGTTTCAATACCAGTTCTTTATCGAATCGTCCACTACGGGAATTACACTGCTGAAAAGAGCCGCTCAAGGGTCGCCATGCGGATAGCCCTAGAAATCAAAACATGACAAGAGAATATAAACCTCCCTGCTATAAAGGTACCACCAAGGGCATCGTTGCGCCACATCCGAATGCGCTGCCAAGTCGTCGCTGGTGCAGCGCCACTTGTGGACACGGCAATGCGATTCGGGGCGACGCCTTGCCGGACGACTCGGGAGGACGTTTTCGGTAGATGAACTCCACAGACTGATTCGCCTGAGATTGTTCGGCGCTACTCACCGGCTGCCGTGCCCGCCGACGGTGCGCAGCATTCTGAGATGATCCAACATAGGGCCGAAGCAGGAGAGATGGTTGACTAGGGTGAATTCAAGCCAAACCGTGCGCCCTAGCATTCTGTAAGCCTCATCCTCGAAGCATTATACCACTACAAGCAGTTTTGACGGGGCAGGGTAAGCATACGAGTTCTAGTCAGCTTGCCAGGTAAAGTTGTCGCGTGACAAGTGATGGCCCAAGCATGGAGATATGCAACGGCAGCGCAGCGGCATCAGCTCGGGTCGGTGACGTGAAGGGGTCTGTGGGTAGAGGTCCAATCCCAGGTTGGGAGCTCAGGCTGGTCAGAGAATATCCCGCAAACTAGTTATCGTGGGAGTAAGCTCTTCACCACCTCATATCGTGAGATGCTGCAAGACCAGCTAGGTGATGCACGACATGCGGCGGCGCCGCCCAAGGCTTACCCGCGGCCGGCCAGAGTGCGACTGCACATTGCTACGTGCCCCATGCGGGAGCGTTGTAGTAGTGCCGCTCGCTTGTACAAGGCTGCGGCCACTCTGCCGTCGCATTACAGCCCGGCACCAGACACAAGGCACAAGGTATGGTGATATCGCCGATGGGCTTCCTCAAGCAGGTGGCTGACATAGACGCGAGCTGCGATGACCAAGGGCTGCCCAGCTACGCGTCTAGCGTTGGCCGTGCAATAGCGGTGACAGATGATTTGAGATTCTACATTTCCAATCTCGCCGTCTTCTCAAAAATACACATTTTGGAAACACGTTGTGTTTGGAGTACGGAGTACTTGGGGCGACAACCCGTCGGTCCGAGAGGCCGACTAGCGGACTGCAAGCTGGGTAACAAATGCGGAGAAAGGGTGGTCTAAGGCCGCCATCGCAGAAGATCACTTCTCCATCCTGCCCAATGAGAAGAAGAATCAAGAAACAATTGACCGTCATACTGGTATTAGGCGGCGCATCCGAGTAGCCCGATGGTCCTTGGGCTCCTACGCCATCCCCAGCCTGAGGAGGGGTTCGGACAATGGTCCGGAGCTCGATGGCGTTGCCCGCTACCCGCAAGCGCAGATGCTATTTAAACCCCCCTCCTCTCGTACTCGCAGCTACGCTACCGGTTTCTTGGTTTTTCTCTCCTTTCAAAGGACGAAACCACCGGCGAGATTCTCACAATGCCGGGCCAAAAAGATCAGCTGAGAACGTGGTGGAAGGAGAGCGCCGTTTACCAAATCTACCCGGCCTCCTTTCAGGACTCCAACGGGGATGGTGTCGGCGACCTCAAGGGCATCATCTCACGAGTCGACTACCTCAAAGAGCTCGGCGTAGATATTGTATGGCTCTCTCCCATCTTCAAGAGCCCGCAGGTGGACATGGTATGCACCCCCTCCCCCTAGCTTGGGCGAGATGTGAAGCTGACGGATGCAGGGCTATGATGTCAGCGACTACCGTGCCATTCACCCGCCGTATGGTGATATCGCCGATGTCGACACCCTCAAGGACAAGCTCCACGAGCGGGGGATGAAGCTTGTGCTGGATCTGGTCATGAACCACACCAGCGACCAGCACGAGTGGTTCCAGGCATCGCGCAAGTCCAAGGATAACCCGTACCGAGACTGGTACATCTGGCGCCCGCCGCGCTACGACGCCCACGGCCAGAGGCAGCCTCCCAACAACTGGGATAGCCATTTCCAAGGTGAGCGACCCTCGAATCAAGCCCCCCCTCCCAGCAACCCTCCGCTCACACACAAGCCGCAGGAAGTGCGTGGGAGTACGACGAGGCCACCGACGAGTACTACCTACGCCTCTTTGCCCGCGAGCAGCCCGACCTCAACTGGGAGAACCCCGCCGTGCGCGCCGCGTGCTACGACACGACGCGCTTCTGGCTCGACCGCGGCGCCGACGGCTTCCGCCTCGACGTCATCAACTTCATCAGCAAGGACCAGCGCTTCCCCGACTCGGACAGGGCCTTTGCCAAGGGCACCGAGTACTACGCATGCGGACCGCGTCTCCACGAGTACCTCAAGGAGCTGGGCGCCATCCTCCAAGAGTACGACGCGTTCAGCGTCGGCGAGATGCCGTGCGTCGGCGACGAGCAGGAGCTCCTCAACGCGGTCGGCGCGGACCGCGGGGAGCTGAGCATGATTTTCCACTTTGAATTGTACGTGCTGCTACGAAAACCGTGTCCTTTGGGTGCGAGTATCACCTTTGTGCTAACTGCGCGCGTGGCAGCATGGATCTGGACCACGGCGCCGAGGGCAAGTTCTCGCCTAAGCAGATGACGCTGGGCGAGATCCGCCAGACGCTCAACAAGTGGCAGCGCTTCATGTACGACAACAACGGCTGGAACGCGCTGTACCTGGAGAACCACGACCAGCCGCGCGCCGTTAGCCGCTTCGCCAGCGACGCCCCCGAGCACCGCGCGGCCAGCGCCAAGATGCTTGCCGTCTTCATGGCCTTTCAGGCCGGCACGCCGTTCATCTACCAGGGCCAGGAGATTGGCATGACCAACTTGCCCAAGGAGTGGCCGATGGACGAGTACCAGGACATTGACTGCCTCAACCATTGGAAGTACGTCGCCCGCTTTCCTTGCCTCCACAAGTAGACGGGGAAAAAAAACTGACTGTATATACCCCCTCTCAGCCTCCGCAAAGACGCCGCCGACGAGGCGACCAAGGCCGCGCTCAAAGTCGAGTACCAGAAAAAGTCGCGCGACAATGCCCGCACGCCCATGCAGTGGGACGGCACCGCGCACGCCGGCTTCACCACCGGCGACGCCAAGCCGTGGATGCGCGTCCACGACAACTACCCGCAGGTCAACGCCGCGGCGCAGGTCCGGGACGCGAGCTCCGTGTACGCCGCGTACCGCGCGGTGCTGGGTGAGCGCAGGGCGCGCAAGGACATTTTCGTCTATGGCGATTTTGCCGCGGTCGACGAGACGCACGACAAGGTGCTAGCGTATCGGCGCACCGCCGCCAACGGGGACACGGCGCTCGTCGCCTGCAACTTTTCTGCCGACGCCGTGACGTGGGCCTTTGAGGGCGGCACCCCGCGCGAGGTCGTCTTCTCGCCGACGGGCAAGACGACGGCCGACGTTGACGGGAAAGTCGAGCTCGGTCCGTACGAAGCCATTGCTTTGTTGCTGTAACCCCGGGCTTTGTCGTCCCTGCCGAGACGCATACTACATTTATCTCTCTAAATAAACTATAATCATATAATCATAAACTCATCCCAACCTCATTTATATATGCTCGCGAAATGGTACCCCATCATCTACCATAGATCGCGCCGTAAGCCCCCGGCCCGCCCCGTGTGCTCCGCAATCTTGTCATCCAAGAAATCGACCAGCTCCGTCATGTCCGTCATGCGCGCAAATGCCAGCCTTTCCTTCTTGCTCAGCAGCGCGCTCTTGTCCGGGCCACAGCCCGGGCCGCACATTTCCTGCACGTGGTGCACGGCGTGCTTGACGGGCAGCGGGGCGCGCGCCGCGCGCACCATGAACCGCTCGACCGCCTCCCACGGGCACGCCGCGTGGCCGGCAAAGAGCGCCGGGTTGGCGAGGAGGCCCCGCGCGGACATGAAGCCGGCGATGTGCGTGTTGCTGGGTGATGGCAGCGGTGGCGCGTCGTCGTCGTTGTCGTCGCCCTTGGTGGTGAGTGTCGGGAGGACGGGGAGGGCGGCAAGGTCAAAGACGTCGCCGGAGAGGAGGATGGGAAGGGTCGGGGCGTACTTTGCGGCAAGCATCTCGAGGGCGTCGGTACGGATGGGCGTGGTCGACGGCGTGTTCCGCGTGCGCGGGTGAATGGTGAGCCAGTCAATGTTGCGGTGGTGAGGGTCCCCGATGACGGTGTCGATGAAGTCGATGGTTTTTCTGTCCATCATGTCAGCCTGTTCTTCGTCTTCCCCCCCCCCTCAATGCCTTTCTCTCGTTTTCTTACCTCAAGTCGTCGTGCACCCGAATCTTGACGCTCACGCTGCGCCCCTTGGCATCCTCGACGTCAGCGTCCGTGCCGCCGACGGCCCAGCCGTCGCGAGCCAGTCGCCCGCGCGTCGCCACCACCATGTCACGCACCAGCTCGCGGCGGTTCATGAGCGCCGCGCCGAGCGTCTCGGCGCACGCCCAACCCTGCGGGCACCCGCAGTTGAGGTCCACGCCGGAGACGTGCGGCGCGGCGAGCGACGAGGCGCGCGCGAGCTCCGTGGCGTCGTTGGCACCAAACTGCAGAATCGTGACTGGTTGCGGGCCGTCTGTGCCAATGGTGAGGTCTAGTAACACAGGTTAGGAACAAAATCTGGTATACATCTTTGGGTTGAATTCCTGGGGACGCAGGTTTACCGCTGTCTCGCGCAAAACTGCTGCGGTTAAACTCCTTGGCGAGAATCATGGGCGTCCAGCACAGGTCCACGCCGTAGTGGTGCACCGTCTGGCGGAAGGCGAGCTTGCTGTAGCGCACCATGGGCGCGCATGCGTATAGGAACTTGTTCTGCTTGCGACATGCCTCGAATATCTTCAAGGGGCTGTTTCCGGAGTGGCGGTTAGCACGACTGCCAGTGTTGGATGAAGCCGTTTGCAAGGTTGACTCACTGCGTTGTGGGCAGGCTGTCCGCCTCTATGCTCCCCATCCTGCCTCTCTGACTATCAAATAGAATATACTGTAGCAGCGCAGTACTTGGTTCAGAGTCATAACTTGTATGCACGTTTTGTCGCAAGCGTCGTATGTGTTTGAATAGCTCAGATTCAATCGTCGGATGGCAACGTCAAAAAGTGAGACTCGGCGTAGCAAAATGTAGATCCACACCTAGGTAGGTAGGTAGACCTTAGACTTATTTAAGTGATTGTCCTATTAAAGTGACGCTAATATAGCAGATTTAGTGGTCATCAAGGTAGATAATAATACTGCATTTTGTTTCCGATAACTACCTAGTACCTTAGTACTAAGCAATTTATTATATTTGATTTAATTAGTGGCCGACTTAAGGTGGTAATTTGTGCAGCACTTGGACACCACCACATTTTGTCGTGTAAATACGCAGCTATACGTATCCTTCTCGCTTCGAGTCTTCGCCGTCACACAACAGTGGCATTCCATCTGACAATTCGATCTCACCTCTGCAGGGCGTTCCACAGCGCCAAGGCAGAGTTCACCGCACTTGATGGTAAGGGATCGCTCGCCACAATGCACATATCCATCGGAGACCCTGGTCAAAGTTACATTATATTCGACAAAGATATCGATGCCTGTAGAAGTGATGAAAGCTGACCCCTGCTGGCAGATGGATTTGAATTGTCTGAACGAGAAAGCCACCGCAGATTGAAGGGGGCGGCTGAGCTCTTGAAGGACTATGTGAATGTAATCTTTGACACTTCATCCGTTTGTACCCTAAAGCCACGTATTTAAAGTCTTTTACCAAATAATAATAATATAGGAAAATGAAGCGAAACAAGGTGGTAAATACAATCATACCTCTCAAAGCGATGAACATTCCGTTACCGCAGTACCGTGCCGGAAAGGATAAACAGGACAAATTAGCTGCGCCTCCCCTGCCATTGCCTGACAATTGACCAGATCCTGTGGTTTAAATATCAGCAGTCGGATTCAGCAATAATCAATCATCACGGCCCTATAAGCGCCGCATTTGACCTGGACAGCAGATTGATTGATCTTTAGTCGGTTGGCCTGCACTGTTCAATACGTCTTGCCGACTTATACACGCATTACCGAGTCTGCGGTGCCTCTGTACGAGATGATGCCCATTTAGTCCACTATTATACAAATTGTCTATTTGCAAATGCTACACACAAAAACGCCATAAAATGCTATAAATCGTCAAACAGCCAACCCTACACCATTGGGCGTTTCTGGCCGTGGCGCATCCAGATCAATGCCAAAGAGGCTATCCGCATCGCCCACCATCTCGGCCGCCTCGGCCGCCGCGAGCAGCACGCCCCGCTCGACAAACACCTCGCGCATCCAGCGGTGCTCGGCGACGATGCGGCGGGCCAGCTCGGCCTGCATGTCCTCGTGGCGGCCCTGCAGGCGGTGCCGGGCGCTGTACATGAGCTCCTCGCGAATCGTCCGCTCGTCCTGCAGCTTGGTGCGGTACGCGTCGAGCTCCTCGGCCTGCCACGCCTCCCAGCGCTGGTAGTCGCGGTCCATGCGCTGTCGCAGCAACAGCATGGCCGACTCGACCTCGTCCGCCGCCGCCGCCGCGTCGCGTTCGGCCCAGTACGCTTCCAGCCGCGCCTCGTAGTCGCTCTCCGCCGCGCGCTCCTTGGCCGCGCGTACGGCGAGGTCCGCGTCGCGGCGAGCTTCCGCGTCGGCGGTGCGCGTGGCGATCTTTTCCTCGATCCCCGCCAGCTCCGCCTCCTGTTCCCGTGCCAGCGCCGCTTCCTTGTTCGCGGCGTCGGTGGCCAGGTCCGTGCCGTCGGCCTCCTGCTGCCGCTCCACGATGTCCACCTGCGTCTCGTGCAGTGTGTCCATCATGCGCGCGAGCTGCTGGAACTTTACCTCGACCGTCTGCCGGCGCAGGATCTCGCCGCGCGCGCGCTCCTTTTGCATCGCGATGCGGTGCTGCTCCTGGATCTCGGCCTCGCGGCGCTCAAGCTCCTCGATCTGGGCGAGGATCTGGCGCAGCTCCTCCGACTCTTGCGCCTCGCGCCGGCGCCGCTCCTGGCGCCGCACGTCCGCCGCCACCTTGAGCTCGGTGAGCTGTGCCATGGTGCAGGAGCAGGTGCACCAGCGGCGGCAGCAGACGTAGCAGAACTGGTAGCCGCAGCGGCACGTCATATGCTGACACGCCTCGCGGTGCTCGACCAGCGCGCGGCACTGCGAGCAGCGCTTCCAGCCTTCCTCCTCGGCGAGCATGTTGGTCATGTTCATCTCCTGGTCCTCCGGGCACTCGTTTTTGCCGTGCGCCGGCCGCCGGCAGATGGTGCACGTCGAGTGGTTTTGGGCGCAGCGGGCGACGCGCTTGGCGAGGTTGATATTCTTGGGCGGTATCAGGGCCGAGCATTCGGGGACGTGGCAGTACACGCGCTCGGCGATGGGCACCTCCCATTCGGATCGCCGTTCTTCAAACGTCCTTTTCAAGTCGGTGGGGATGTGGTGCAGGACTGTGCGGAACGGAATTTGGTTCAGACAGCACTTGGGCGGCCATTGCTGCTCGTTGGCGCAGGCGGCCGTGATGAGACGGACGAAGCATTCGTTGCAGTAGCTATGGCATACGACTTTGACCACGTCCATTTTGGCGAAATCGTCGAGACAAGAAACGCATTCACTGAAGTCATGTCAATCGTGTGTTCGGCAGCTCAAAAATTTTCCACGTACACTAATTCCTGCGTTTCCGGGACGCGAACAGTTTTGTTTCGCCGTAGCTTCTGGAGCGTCTCCTGCGTCTCTGGCGCAGTGGACTCGACATTGGCTTTGCTGAGGCGATTTTCAAGATCTTGCAGAATCGCCTCACGGGCCTCGCCAGCCGCGGCACTTTCTCCCTTTTCATAGCTCCGCTGAAAGAGCTTCCGGAAGCCAAACTTGCGGCGCTTGTCTACCTGCCCCTGGATGAAGCTACGTCGTGAATAGAGCGACGCTGTATCGCAGTCCGGTCTGAGCTCGGCTGGGGAAGTATCGATTTCCTTTTCCTTCTTCGGTCCGTCCATGTTAATGGGAAGATACGGTTCCTTGTTCTTGGCGGCCTCGAGCGCCTCGGCCTCTTCCACGACCTTGCGCGCGGCCTCGTCCTCCTCTTCCCGGCGCAACTGCTGCGCGACCCGTTCCTGTACATTGGTGATGGACTGTGGGATTATTTCGGTCAGCGGCTCCGAGAAGACTTTGGAGGCGTCGGCGAGTCCAGGTGGTGGGCTGTATTGGCGCCAGTCGACCTCGTCGTCCCCATCGCCGACCGATGCTGTCTGCGTCTGGTGTATGGCATCGTGGTGTTTTCGCAGCCACTCGTTTTGCAGCTGCGCGAGGTATTCTTCGGGGTTCTCGACGATGTCGGCCAGCGCTGTGCTGTCGTACGCGCCGGGGAGGGCGGGCCGCGACGCCGACGGTGCCACGCCGCCCATAGGAGTGCTAGTCTCCGGCGACGCGCTCCCGTCTTCGGCAGGGTCAACCAGCGAGCTTCTTTTGGCCGTGTTCGTTCCGAGGATGCTGATTTTCATGGCGCGAAACGGCGACGGTGTGCATCCGACAAGCAGTCAACTGTCGTCTCCGGGCAGCAGTTTGTTGGCTATATGCGTTGCGCCGCCCGTCCGTGCTTGTAACGGATCGGCGCGGCGGGCACACGAGCTGCGTTTGCGTCCATGGCTAAAACAGCCTTGCGGGACGGGGATCCATGATGTAAATTCAAAGGCTAAAAACACCGAAAGAGCAGGCTAGACGACGCCCCAGGGCGCCTCACTGCATGTCTGGGCGTTGTCCAAGTCCGTGGCCCAATCCTGACGGGGAATTGGGGCGCGTGCTGTTGCGGCTGAAAGAGATGCCCACTCTGCTTTGCTCGCGAAACGCCCATACAAGGAACAAGCAGCATCGGAGCCGCTATTAATGGAAATAGAGAGTAATGGTGGCTTTTCCCGCCACATTGCACGGGAACTAAGTTATAATGTTAGGCTGCTGCTTTGCGCCCGGCTGGGTGGGCAGTGCACGCTTCTGGAATGCAAGCCACGTGATGCGTCTATCAGATGTTTCATTTCGCTCCCTAGTTAGCTACCTCGCATTAAACTTGATTCAAACTTATCATCACTCTACATCGAAATGAACTCTACGCTACGACTCCTACGATGCTGTCCATTTCCGATGTCGACCAGACACGACGGGGGCTTCTATTCTTGCCCGTCATGCCCGCGACACCACATCTCACACCGCCGCGAATAAGTGTATTGACGTATCAGATTCTCGTGATAGGCAATGTACATCCATCCATCGCCGCCTATATTTTGGCATAGTTCTTTGCAAACTCGACCCTATTGACACTGGGGCCGTTAGTATGTGGGTATGTGTGTGGCTTGGTGTTTGGGTGCTTACCAGGTACCGACATGGTCGAGTCCGACTTCCACAACATCGCCGTCCTTGAGCCATAATTGTGGTGAGCGTCCCATTCCAACACCGGCAGGTCTGAGCGGTTAGACAGCAAGTTTGTGCGTACAGGGAAATGATGGTAGACGTACGTCCCGGTAAAGATGAGATCCCCGGGCATCAAGGTCACGCCTCGACTGAGGAGCGAAATGGTCTCCTTGACGCCAAAGATTTGGTCGGCAGTGTTGCCACTCTGTCAAAGTCAGTTTGAGTCTTTGCCAAAAGTATGTCGACTTACTTGTAGTGTCTCGCCGTTGACCTTGGTCCAGATGGAGAGCGATTGAGGGTCCTCAATCAGCTTGGAGGAGACAATGCCAGGACCATACGGTGCCCAGCCGTCAAAGCCCTTGCCATGAGCCCACTGGTTTCCGTGCTTCAACTGCCAGTCTCTGTGAGACAGGTCGTTTCCCACAGCATATCCAAGAACGCACTCGAGAGCCTCGGACTCGGGCACGTCCTTGCACTGCTTGCCGACGACAATGACCAGCTCGCACTCGTAGTCGAGACCGTCCATCTCCTGGGCCATGTGAGGAACAGGGATGGGGTCGGTGGGACCAGACAGGCTTGTGGGAGGCTTGAAGAAGAGGACAGGGTACTTTGGCTCGGGAAGCTTGTTTTCTTTGGCATGGTCGGCGTAGTTGAGGCCCAGGCAGCGGACGGTGCCGGAGTGTGCTGGTGCTAGGGGTGGGAGAAGGGTGCGGATATTGGCGGTGAGATTCGTGACTTGGTGTTGACCAAAGATATCTCCCTCGATAATCCGGGCACTCTGGGCCTTGGAAATGTCCGTTTCTCCGTCGGGGAGGATGGCGTCGCCATAATAGGAGTGTCCATCGTGGGCGAGGAATCTAACAAGCCTCTGTTGGCAGCATCACTTAGCAAGAGTGGGTTGGAAGTGTATTAACGAGCTAAACTCACTGAAAAGGAAGACATTTTTATTTGTTGATTCAGTGGAGAGTATGAATGATGAAATGTGTGATTATTTGAGTAAGGGGAATGGTGATGCTTTTATAGTTGATACTATGTACCTACCTGTTTACAGCGCGAATAATGATTTGTCGGAGATGACTCGGTGACGGTTGGGCGATGAATTCCTGTCTCCCACAGGCAATTAATAAAGTGTACCTCATACCTTAATTGCACCAAGCTCACCAAATGCAGGCAGTGAACCCGCTATATTCACCAGCGCTGACCCGTTCGCTGGAGCATCCCTCGGCACCTCAGGCCAACCAACCCGCTAGCGCTGACAGGCACATCATCGACTGACACTGACATGGGTGTCCATTTCGACCTCTAACCACCACTCCTTCCATCACGACACACGGCTGCACCGGCACTTCATCTGCCGCCAGTCAGCACAATGCGCCTCTCCGGCCTCCAGAAAGAGGTTCTGGGCCTCTACCGCCACTGTCTTCGCGAGAGCCGCAAGAAGCCCGAGGTATCTGCGCTGCCCCCTTCGCGCCAATGACGACCGAGCTTCGGCTGCCATTCCGGCTGCAACACCATTAGCACCGCTTGACTAACATGCTATTTCTTTTTTTACTAGGCCACTAGACCACATTTTAAAGCTTTTGCGAGGTGAGCTCGTTTGCTGCCTTGTCTTCGTCGAGGCGTTTGCTAATGACCTGGTCCAGGGCAGAATTTGCAAAGAGCATCCGTATTGACAAACGCGACTTTGCAGCCATTGAGTTTCTGCTGCGCAAGGGGAAACGCCAGCTCGAGACGTACTCGTCTCCGGGAATCAAGGATATCCGATAGCCGTGCTCCTGCCCTCGCCATGCCTAGCCTCGTGCCGTGGCTCGGCCAACTGCTGTCCTCTCCTGCCGGGGCAGCTCTCGCCGCCATGGGCAAATGGCCGCCCGCCCATCCTCTCCGCAAACCTTGCATCAGTGCTGTCTGCACTCCTTTTTTCGTGCTATCCCATGCTTAGGCTTCGTTATCACCCAACATTCTTCACAAAGCTCATCCACCCGCCCCTGGCCCAGAGCTTAGCATGGCCACTCTGGCTTCCATCCCGGAAGGCGGCAACCCACGGCACTTCGCCCATTTCAGCAAATTAAATGACTTGAACAATACCTCTACCAATAATCATCGTCCTCACTCCAGAACCTTTGCTGCACCACGACGTCATGCTCGCTCTCGCTATCAAAGACCCGAGAGGATTGAGACTTTCCCAGCTCGGCCCGTCGCAGCCCGAGGGTCGCCGACCAAAAGCACCTTTGCTAATATTCACACCACGCCCGAGGCTGCGTCCGAGGAGCACGCTGAGCCATCCGACTCCTCGTTTGACTTGGACTCCTTCCCTATCCCTCCATCTACGTCGTCGTTCTTATCCACCTACGGTGCCAGACCACCGGCAAGCTCTGGCTCATCCTCATCCATGGCAACACATGAGAGATCTTTACATCACGGGTACAAGGCATCGAAATCTCGACGCTACCATCATCAAGTGGATGGCACAAAAGATCCCGCCAGCTCAACAAAACGGGCTTCGGTAGACTCGGCGCTGGTGGATGCCATTGCCAGAAATCTCGTTCAGCAGTTTCGTTTATCGTCTGTCGGCCGGTGCAGGCAGCACCATACGAAAACACATGCCCCTGCCGATCGCTCTGATGAGTCGCAAAGTTCGAACAAGCAGGATGCAGTCGACCACTTCGCCAAAGACCTTGAACGATATGCCAAGCGTTGCGAGGAAAGAGAAGCTCGCGTCCCCAGAAAACAATCTGCTTCAACTCTCCGAACTGTTTCAGCTCTTTTACCGTTTCGTTCCGAGTTTGAGACTGCTGGCCTCGCCGTGACGTCCAAAGACCAAGCGAACCGTATTGACAGTTACATCACCAAGGCTGTTGAGGCGAGGGCACCGCCAGAGGCAGGGCCGTCTAGCAAGTCGAAATATTCGAAACCAGTCGCAGGGAAGCCTTCCCAAGTGGACGGATTTAATGACACGGACCCCAGTGATAGTCCCAACACGGAAATTTCTTTTGCGCCTACCAACGGCATGGACGAGTGGCGCTATGCGATGATTGACGAAGTTCCAAAGAAGAAGAAGAAGAAGAAGAAAGCAAATACTACCCCTGGCAAAAAGCCCAGGAAGCACTGTCTCTCTTGCTTTGATCACAGCCCTTCCACAGTAACAGAAGCTGGTTGGGCTCAGCCTCAAAAGCTGCCGACTGCCCCGATGCCAAAGTTCCGTGGTGGTATAGGGCCTCCTCCCCCCGTTCCCCCACCGCCGGTGCCGCCTCAGCGACCGCCTCGCCCGGAAGTTGGATTGCTTGACGAAGAACCTGCAGCAGGGCGACATGTAGCACCGGAGAACTTGACTTCTAAGAGCCATGCTATCAGTCCCAAAATGCTGCCTTCGTACCCACGTCAACAAGACAAAGGAAAGTCGCCAAACGTACGCAGGCGAGGATCACCCCATCCGCATATCCTGCCTGCAAAATTGAATAGATCTCCGATCAAGAATAAACGCACCAGCTCCAAAAGGCATATACCGCATGAAACTACGTCCAAACAATATGACAGGACTCGACGACAAATGACCCCTCTTGACTTGAAGAGAGCTGTCGAAGGAACCAAGGATGGACCAGAGCCCGAAAACTTGGGCCATTCAAGGGCTCGAGATGCACGACCCGATACTATCGACCACATTGGTATTTGCTGTAGGAGCAACAGAGGCGTGCCGTCACGGGCAAATGCCAGGCCAAACATCCCTCGCCGTACCTCGTCCATGGCCCAGTTTATGATTTCTTCCAAACTTGACTATGACGACAGGGAAATTACGGATCGCGATGTACTTCGGGGTCTTCACATCGCAGCATCAGCCGCCTGCGACGAAGAAGTCGATGCATTTGTTCGAAACGAAACTGGCCTCCGCATTCGCCGTTTCCTAGCGGACCTCATGACTCTGGAATCGTTAGCGGTCAATCCCCCAGTAGACAAGAAGCAGTGGGCTCGTCAGCGACGAGCAGACATGCGAAAGCTGAAGCAACAGATGCGACGTTCTCGCGAGCTTAACAGCCTAGGGCAGGCGAACTTTTTATGAGTTTGTCATTATTGAGTCGCCATGGAGGAAGGCGTGTATGAATAGGCACAGTGGCGCGCAAACCATTCTTTGTATAATACCATGGAAATGCTAGCGTTAACAGCTATTAATATTATATCGCGATTCATCTGATGTGATTGTGCTGAGTCCTGGTGTGTGGCTTGCGCAGTCAGTCGCAGCATGTGCGCAGCCCCGCACCACAGCCGTTCCGTTCCAGAGAGATGATTGCCGCGTCACTTCCATCATTCTTTCATCAACTCGCCATCCATGGACGCTTCCATCAACCTCCAGGCCGTCGAGGCGGCTCGCAACAATTTTACCGTCGCCAGGAGCGACTTTGAGCATTTCCTGCGATGCTGGGCGCAGCAAGACTGCAACGGCTGCATCAACACGGCCGAGTGTTCCTGGTGCCCTTTTGTACGTTTTTGCTTACACCTGACACACATAATCGAGACTTTTGACAGAAAATTTACTTCCAACTTGTTCTTTCTTTTTGGCTATCAAAGATGATGAAAGCTAACTGCATACCACGGCAAAAAGTCGTGGGCTTGCGTGCCCAACAAGTACGAGCCTGCGTTCCTGGCGCCCCTCTACCACGACGACGTGTGCCCCGCGCGCGCTGAGCGGTGGGAGCTGCGCACGCGGCCGTTTGGTTGCCAGGCCTCGACCTACACGGTGCTCAGCACGGGCGTGGCCGTGGCCGCGACGCTGCTGGCGGTGCTGCTGCTCTGGCTGCTGGGGCTGGCGCTGCGACACGTGCGGCGACGGAGCAGGAGCGCGAGACGGCAGTGGTTTGTGGCGACGTGGGCGCCGGACGGGCAGCGTGGTGATGAGACGCAGCCGTTGCTGGTAGGCCGATGAAGCGGGAGACCACGTGTGGAGGGGGCGGGTTTTGTTTTTCTTTCGGCCATATTTCTCTCATGTAAGCCCCGGCAGATGGATTTTGTTTTCAAAGCATGTTTTATGGTTGGCGGGAAGGAGCGCCCATCAGCCGGAGCTGACGGGCGGGATTATGGCCACCTCGTCAGCGGCCTGGATCACGACGCCAGCATCGTCGATGCCGGGTTGGGGCACGTCTACGTAGTCGAGGTTGACCGTCACGAGGCACGAATCCAGAACGCGGGCGCGGATGCCCGGGTGCCGCCGCTCGACGGCGGCCAGCAGCTGCGCGAGCGGCACGGGTGCGGGAAACGTCTCGCTTTCACGGCCCGTGTACGAGCTGGCGGCCGCAAAGTACAGCACGGTGCATTGACCGGTCGAAGCAGCCGTCGCAGACATGTCGACTTAGTAGCGAGTTCTTTTTTTTTGCTTTTCTCTGGGTTTTCTATGTTTTTCTTTTCGGAAATAGTTAGCAAAACTTGTTCCCCATTGCAGCGAGCATTTAAGAAATGTGAAAAATAGGGTTTGGATCAGAGATCTTGGTGATCAAATTTGACATCAGTGGAGTCAGGTAATACATGCTAAAAGGCATCATTTCCAAACAAGAGGGGTGCATGGGCAGAGAAAATGAAGATGGTTGTTACTTACAATTTCAGATGGTGGTGGTTGTAGAGAGGAAGAAGGAGGAAAACTGAGCTGGCCGCAAATTTAAATCGTGTTGCCCATGATGTGGGGCCACGCAACTCCCTGCCCAGTAGCTAGGTACCTTGGCAGGTATGTACTAAGAGCGAGCATGATGGATGGAATTGTGTAAATTGAACTGTTTTCATGTATAAAAAAATGTCCATCAAGAATTGACCATGGGTATCGCTCCAATGCTCTCGCTACCAAAACTTCAGCCCAGCTTAGCCATGCGCTCTTCCAGGTCCTTGACCCATCCCTCCATGACCGTCATGTTGCCCTTGACCGTGGCGCCGCCCTCCGCCATCGTCTCCTCGAGCTTCTGCAGGCCCTCCCGCCACTGCTTCAGCTCCGCCGCCGTGTCGGCCTGCCTCTGCTCCAGCTGCTCCATCGTGTGGCTAGCTGCGGCCGCATCCGCGTGGATGGCGCGCAGCGAGCGCAGGCGGTCCAGCAGCGGCGGCAGCATTGGCGCCAAGCTCTCAATCGTCGGGAGCACGCCGTACAGGGCATTGATCTTGGTCTCCTGCTCGGCCGCACCGTCCCCCGGTGGCAGTGCCTGTATGTGGGGGCCGCCCTTTCCCAGCTCCTCGCGCAGCGCCTTGGCCTTTTCGCGGGCGTCGTTGAGCTCATTCTGGTCCGAGGCCAGCGTGCGGACGCGGCGGCTGATGGCGTCGAGGTTCGCGGTGGATGCTTGCGCCAGTGTGGCAATTTGCTTGTCCATGTTGTCGAGGGTGGGTAGGATGGCACGCGGCAGGCCACCCGCGCCCGCTTCGGCGGACAGGGAGGAGCTGATGCCCAGACCCTTTTCGAGGGCGAGCAGCCGGCGGTCAAAGTCGGCTGCTTTTGCGAGCGCGTGTGTCTGTTCGTACGCCGGCGCGTAGGTAATGGTATACGTAGAGCTTCCGACGTCTTCCTCGGTAGCGTCCTTGTCGGCAGGGGTTGCCGTCTTGGTTGGTATCGTCTCGTGGGTGATGGTACTGGGCATCGACATGGTGGCCAGCAAGTCGCTCAGGGACTGCAGTCGCGTGTCGTCTTGCGTGTCTGGGGAGGCTTTGAGCTTGGCATATTCGTCTTTTGCTTCTTGTACCTCGCGCGTCAGCCGTGCAATGCGCCGCTCTAGGCTTTCCTCGTCGTCGTCTTCGGATAGATCGCCTAGCTCGGTAGTTCCGTCCTGTAGAATCCGTTGGCGACGGCTTGAGGCCTTGTATGACTTGCGCTTTCCATCCACGCGATCAGAAAAGTCGACGCCGTCTGTGTCGACGGCAGCGGGCTCGAATCGCGAACGGGCGTCGCCAATCCGTAGTCGGGAGTGCGAGATGCCGTCCGTGTCGTCTTCAACATCGTAAAACTCATCGTCCGATTGCGTACGGGCGGCTGTGGTCTGAGAATAATTAGAAGGGGTCCATATTGCCAAATAGGCATATAGCTGTGTACGCACGGGTATCGTCGAGTTGTCGTCTGTCAATTCAGGTGTCTCGTAGATGTCTGGAGCCGAGAGGTCCTGCGATGCGACTATTAGCCCTGAGCTTGCTGTGAGAGCAAAACTCATACCAAGTCTGGTAAATTTGCATATTTTCGGTTGAGCGCCATTGTGCCACGCGCCAATCCTCCGTTGTGCAGGTGTTGATGTCTCCTTGAAGCTGTGACAAAGCGGTTATAGCGGTCTAGGGGTTGAAGCAACCAACCCCACCACCTCGAGCTAGGTGCAAGCCATTGGCAGGAAGCAGAGAATACTTGAGCTGTGCACGGAACAAAAATAATTTCTGGTTTCGTGGTATGAAGTAGCAATCAAGGGCTCAAAAGCAATCACATGTCTTGTTTCACTATCCAAACATTCAATTACCAATCACTGGTCTGTATCTCGCCTTGTACCAGTTGCTTTGCACGCACGTTGAGGCAGTACACGGTGCAACATGGGTATTTGGCTCCAGTAAAAATATGCCATAAATGTGTGTAAATACATATATAGCTTTCCTTGTGACAGCTCATAAATTACTGTAGGCCAGTTTTGATCTGAAAGAAAGGTTGCAGCTTGTCAGGCATCTAACTACCTAGGTATGAAGTTGCAGTACTTATCGCCCCACATGCGCAACGCGTCTTCCGGCGCGCATGATGAAGCCACGCCCGTCATTAACCTTCACTTGGTGCGCCATCATCCGCAACGGTCAGCGCCGCCCAATATGCAATAATTGAATCCGGAAATACGCGGATGAGTGTACCACTCTGAGCCGAATAGTGACAGCTCACCCGCAGCCATGAGCAGACGAGTAGGCTTGACTGCCAACGCTCCTGGCTTGCTCAAGACTGTGGGCAATCGCCCGCGGCAGGTGAACCCTCCCGTCGCCGACGATGCTCCGCCAATGTCCACAGATGATGAGGATGATACGATTAGCGAGGGGACAGCTCAGGCTGCTAAGGCCAGCGACCGAGCCGCCTCTCCCAAGCGCATAGTTCCGACTCGGCGGCCGTCACCGTCGGACAGCGACTCTGAATTATCCGCGGCTGACAGGTCACGGCGGGCCGCTATCCAGCCAACTTCATTCGCGCCAAAGAAACCGCCAGCTGCAGAGATTGTAAAGAAGCGGAAGAAGGTGTCTCCAGAATATCTGGAACGTGAACGTCCGAAGGCCCAGGATAAGTTGAAGCCAGGAAACCATCTTAGGAACAAATGGGGCTTCACAGGCAATAAAGTGTCCAAATCTACCTATGGAAAACAACCAAGAAGCTCACAGAGCAGCCAGCCAGGTTAGTTGCCATTACAGTCGCCTGCGCCGTGCCTCACTAACATGCGCAGGCTCGTCACAAGGTAGCAACACACTTCGCGTTTTCAGCTCATTAGAAAGTCCACAAAAGAAGAAGCCTTCAAAGTTTATTGTGCCAGGAAAGAACATACTCTCATCGCCCCTCAGCTCTCCTAGGAAACTCTTTACCGATCTGAATGGCAATGCTGATAGCGACGATGAGGACAGCATTCTTGCGCCGTTAAAATCGAAAAGAGGCGCCAAAAAGGTCATCAAGAAGAGCAAAAAGAATAAATCGCCGCCCTCTTCACCACCACGCGCAGTGTTCAAACTACCAGAAAACTTCTTGGACAAGTCACCAAGCGAGCGAATACCCCTGGGGGACGCCGCCGACATGTCCAAGCTCTCCGACGACGAAGACAGCCAGGACGACGCTGGCAGTCGGCCCCGATTCAAGGTGCCCGACGACCTTCCCGCGCCGCCCCCCGCCGCCAAGTGCCCCTGGTGCGGCGAGGAAGTCGACCGGGCGCAGCTCGACGAGTTTGGCCAAGGCAAGCGCCTCACCGTGCGCCTGCAGACGCGCTTCTGCCAGCTGCACAAGCAGCGCGCCGCCGCGCAGACATGGCGCGACCGCGGCTACCCGACCATTGACTGGGACGCCATCGAGGCGCGCTTCGCCGCGCACAGCGACCACCTGCGCGCCGTCGTCGACGGCGCTGCCGCCGCGCGCTCGCACTTTCGCACCCTGCACGCCCGCAACATCGAGGCCGGCCGCGCGCGCGCCATGAAGCAGGAGGAAAACTTCAACCCGGGCTACTACGGCCCGCGCGGGCTCAGCGCCATGGGCGACTACCTGGTCAGCGCGTTTGGGGATGCCTTGAAGAAGCGCGCGGTCGACGACCGCGTCGTTGCCGGGCGCGGATCCGCAGCGTTTATCCAGGCCGTGCTGGTTCCGGAGCTCGGCGTGCGCCTCATAATGGAGGACTTGAAGCTGTCAGAGGCCGCGGCCAGGCAGGTCTTGGAGGAGAGCAAAGCCCTGGGCGAGCTCGTACAACCAGAAGTGGAGAGATAGCTTGGGGTTGCTGGCTCGCGTAGGCCGCAGCAGATTTATAGAATTGTACATGGAAATCGCGTCATGGGCGTCATATATCCAGCTGGGACGGGGGGTTTTCGTCACTTTATTTCGGGATCCTATCTTTGCATTCATAATCATACATATATTTCCTCCAAAAGAACAATACCCCATCTTCGCTCGTTATAACCCGGCCAGCATGCTCTGGATGCCGACCGACGAGGCGTCATCCCGGCGCTGCACAAACGCCTGAAAGTCGGCCTTGGAGAGCTTTCCGCGCGCGGCCGTCTGTCCGGGCGCCAGTCCGCGCGACTTTTCGCGCAGCGCCTCGGCGCCGACGATGAAGAGGGAGCCAATCTCGGTGAGCAGCTCGACGGCGAGGCCAATGTCCTTGGCGAGCGGCCAGTCGCGCATCATGGCCACGTACTTGGCAATGTCCTGCGTCACCATGAGGCCGCCGGTGGCGTTGACCTGGAACTTTTTGAAGTGGTCAAAGAGCAGCCGGTGCAGCTCCGCGGCGAGCGCGCTAAAGAACTTTTCCGCGTTCTGGCCGTCGAGGGCGGCCGCCGCGTGCTTGGCGGCGCGCCCGAGAAAGGTGCAGGTCGTCAGGCAGGTGGGCGTCTGCAGGGACTCGAGCTCGACGTCCTTGGGGCGGAAGTCTTGCTTGCGCTGGCCGCTGAGCGTCTTGGCGACGTAGTTGACAATGACGTCGATGGAGATCTTGACGACGGCGTTGGTCTTCTTCTCAATGTCGTCAATGGCCTGCTTCTTCTGCGCCTCCATGCTCTTGCGGACCGTCGTGTTGGATTCGGCGAGGCGGATGAGCACCGTGCTAATGAAGCGGTCCATGATGGCGGATATGGTGACGGCAGGGCGGATCGCGGGCAGATACGCCATGTCGGGCTCTGTTTTGGAGTGCTCGAGCATGGTGGCCTGCATGTGTGCGGCATCCAGTGCCGTCTGGACGTAGACGTGCCCCATGTTGGTGAGCAGCAGGTGCAGAAAGACGCTCATTTCTTTGGGCGTCTCGACCGCGGTGCCCAGCTCCAGTGTGCGCTGCACACTCTCGGCAAGCCACTTGAGCATGCGCTTGGCGTTGGCCACGCTCAGGGTCCCGTCGTCTTCGGAGAGCTCGATTTCATTCTTATTGTCCTTTTCCGCAATACCAGCGACGCGCAACATGGTAGCTTTTTGTGTCGGTGTCAGGTCCGACGAATCAAGACGCTCCAGGTAGGCGTCTTTGGCTGAGGCCATCAGCTGCGTGCCCTGTTGGGCGAGAGAGGCCATGAATCCAGTCGGTGCCTTCTTTTTGCGTGAGTGGTACATTGTAAACTTGAAAAGTAGCGAGCTGTACATTTCCTCGATGCTCTTCTTTTCTCTCTCAATGTAAAGATTGCCGACGAGATAGGGGACAAACAGCTCGTCCACTTGCTGGTCGAGAGTTTGCGCAATCTGACCAGAGCAAGGCTCTGGATGCTCAGTAAGACCATGAGTCTTAAGGTCCTCAATCAAAGAGCTAATGTAGCTGCGGGAAGAATGAAGTGAGCGCAGGAAAGCCAGCGACGATACCGTATCAGCCTTGTCTAGAACCTGTTCTAAGCGCTGCTGGATCGACTGTTGGAAAACACGCTGGATAAACTTGGTCAGGACTGTTTCGTAATAGGGAAATGCTCGCTTGATGATGAATGATTCTTCTTGCATGACAATTTTGACTTCGTCAATGAGCGATTGCAAGCTGGCTTCGACGCCAGGGGGAGTAGCATCAGGGTCCGCAATGGGCTCCCAGATGTCTTTATCAGCAATCACTTCGTCATTCATCAGCTGGTCACGATCAATGAAGAACTGATGCTGATTGACAAACGCCGCAATGACACTCGCCCCGCCATTGAAGTCGTACAGCACCCTTGTGCACTCCATCATGTCGTCAAAGTTTTGCTTGCGGTAGCTGTTGTTGAACTGTTGCAGGAGGTCTTGCTCGAGTGACTCGCAAAACTTTTCAAGAATTTCTCGCGTATTGTGCGTCTTCCCTCCAGTTCCGTTGATATTGCCGTTCGCGTTGCCATTCCCGATAGAGCTGTTGCGGTGGCCGTTGGTGGTGCCCCACGACGCAGGGTCGAGCTGCTGGGAGATGCGCATCAGCTGGCGGGAAATGACAGCACAGCGAATCTTATTCTCGGCACCGCCCTGCCGGCGGATTTCCTCAAGCGACGCAAGCTGGCCGCCGTCGCTGACTTCGCTCCAGCACTGGATAAGAAATTGGGCGTCCTGCGCGCGCCGTCGCTTGCGGTCCAGGTCCTCTAGTTTTTCACCAATCTGCACGGCCACGTTGCCTTCGCCGTCGGCTTTGTTCTGCGTCTCGTAGTTGTTCGTCTTGCTGGGGGCGGCGGCCCCGTCGAGGGCCTCAAAGGAGCTCATGGATTCGTCGAGCTTTCTGCCTAGGGTATCAAGTGTCTGGTCGTGCTGAACTTCTGCGCGTCGCACTTGGGATAGGAGCTCCGACTCCTTTTCTTGTAGCTCGTCCCCGAGCATAGCCAACTGGCTCAGCGCATCTAGCAAAGGTGTCAGCGGGCGGCGCGAGGAGTAAGGTCGACCGCGTGCGTACTCTCAAAGGTGCGAATGAGCGGCTTCGCATCAAAGGCTGGTTGCGCCGGGCCCGACCTGCGATTGATTGGCACGGCGCTCTCGGCCAGACTGTCGACAAAGTCGCGTACGATAAAGTCCTTGTTGGAGAAGTTCTCGAGGGTGAAGCTGGGGCCCTTGGGGAAGAGGCTCTTGGCCCCGATGCTGGTTCGGTCCATGGTGAGACGCGGGCTTGGGCGCGGCCCGGTTGCCTACATGTGCCGAGCCGTGGCTTCTTGATTCAGATTCAATGCTGTGCTTCTGTCCCAGTCCTGGGGATCTGTTGCCGCTTGGCGCTGTTGTGTAGATGCGGGTGTCACTGGTGCTTGGAGTTATGGAGGCGCGCAGAGAGCTCAGCCCCACCACTAACTGGATGTGGCTCCTGCGCCACACTCATAGACGCAAGCACATGTCCAGCTTGCCACTATTCTTTTGGACAGCAACGCTGTCTATCTCGCATCCCTTGTTCTGCATATCCTGTCTCTTCCCTTCGTTCCATTTTTCGTTCTATTCCCTCTGTCGATATTTTTCCATCTGCTGTTACAACCACAATGCCCGCCACCGCAACCGCTCGCAAGGCGTATCGCGCCGACGCAAAGGCCAACCATACGCTCTTGAGCGAGCAGGAGAGGGCGCGGCTGATCAAGGTACGTCGTCGGCTCGACGTCATCGCAAAGCTCCCTCCTAATTATACAGTCTCACTTGCCTCCCGTCAACGATATCCCGCCCGTCTCGAAGAGAAGCAAGCAACAAAAGTCGCACCTCGGCGTTCGCCGTTTCTTGAAGCATGCGCTCTTCGTCGTCGTCTTCGCCATCATGCATGGCATCTTCTCCCTCTACATCCGTCTGCGACAGGCCTGGAACATTGTGCGCTACCAAATATCGTCTGTTCTGTACTACCACCACGGAACTCCGGAATACATTCGCAGGGACGTCGCTGGGCTTCCGAAGAAGCCGAGCCACCTAAGCGCCGTTTTGCGTGCTGAGGAGGATAAGCGACCCAAGGCCGATCTTGAGCGTTTAATTGACGAGGCCGCTGAATTGGCTACTTGGACTGCCTGCACTGAGATTCCGATGCTTTCCATTTACGAAAAGACTGGTAGGAATGAGACGCACCTTTGAATGCTAGTCGCTAACCGTGTCTAGGAATCCTCAAGAAGCACATGCCCCGCGTCTACGAGGCCATCCTTGCCAAATTTGCCCTTTACTTCGGAACACAACATGCGTCTCTTTCTGTAACGTCACCTCACCGCGAGGCTCTCTCTACTCCCGCTTCGATGAGCCCCAACCCCGCCGGCCAGCTGCGAGTTCACCTGATTTCCGCGCAGGATGGCCGCGAGTCTGTTGTGGACCTGACCCGAACGCTCGCCGACATGTCCCAGAAGGGCAAGCTGTCGCCTCGCGATATCTCCATGGACCTGATCGACGCTGAACTATCAGAGGGCATTATGCCCGAGCCAGATCTGCTGATTCTATTCAGTCCCTATGTCGAACTCTCTGGCTACCCCCCTTGGCAGATTCGTCTCACTGAGATCTTCTGCCTGCAGGACAACGAGTCGTTCGGCTATCAAGTCTTTGTCAAGGCTCTCCGCAACTTCTCGAGTGCCCAGTTCCGTCGCGGCAAATAGATACCCCTCGCCCATCCCCCATAATACTCATTACATGCACTTCATTTTTTATTCCGCTGTCGCATCTCTCGCCGTGTCTTGTCCCATCGGTACACTGGTCCTCGGCCGACATTGTAGTTGTAGTAATTTTCTGTGCCATCTTTGGTCATGGCTCGACGAAAGGTAATGTTGATTCTTCCTCCGTCCTCACTGTTCTTGCCTGTCCTTTTGGGTATCGAGTGCAGCCAACGCGACTGGGTTGTTCCGCGCATCAGGACCATGGCTCCACTGCCCAGGGCGAGCTTGAGACTCTCTGGGGCCGTTTTGTGCTTCATGAGAAAGTCGCGCTGGGCCCCCAGGGAGAAGGAAGCGATGGCAGGATCTGGTCCCAGAAATCTCTCGTCATCGCTGTGGTAGGATATGCTGTCCGCGCCGGACGCGTAGTAATTGACGAGGCAAAAGTTAAACTGACACGCTGTAGCAGCCTCGGTAGATCTGCGCAATGTCTCGAGGCATTGCGGGATTGGTCGCGGGGGGTAGCGATGATAGCGGCTGTCTGCTACAAGCACCTCAGACTTTGCATCAACAACGCGGCCATTTTTGAATCGCGACGTTTCGTCTAGGCCAAAAACGGTTGTCCATCTGCTACATTAGCGACGTTGTCGAAGAATGCAGGTATGACAAACCTAGGTGTTTTTATGTCGGTCTCTATCCCACCACGCTTGATTTTGTACTGAACCCTATAAAACGGTAGTTCGGCCCTCAGAAACTCAAACAGCTGACGGGCCTGCAGTCTTGGGACGAAGGGATCGAAGTAGAGGAGATCAAGGTCCTTCTTGTCATCTATTGTCTGGCCAGGCTTCGCCGGCAAATTGGGAGGCAACAGCTCGTTGGCCAGAGACGCCGGAAAGTCGGCAATCTCGAAGGGATACGCGCTGTGCTGTAAAGTGGACGCCTGGACTATGTCAGCGGCGGCGGCATCCATTACGAGGGCGGCGTACTGGCTCAGCTTCGGCTTGACGCTGTTTCTTAGCCTGAGGTGCAAAAAAGGCATCCAAAGTGCGCTTCTCGGGCATTTTGATGATTCGAGTCACGAGAAAGTGGTGATGTAAGTGACAGCCTCGCGTGTGGGGCACAGGCACAGACAAATGACAAAATGATACTCGCTATCTAAATCTTGGGCGCATCGGGCTTCCGAATCGGGAAAGCAAACTATCCAACGTTTGATTTCGCTCTGCTTGTTCTATATATTACAGATGTGGTACATGTCTCATATTTCGCAGATGTGGCAGTTCTGTGCCCTTTAGTTGTGAACCTTTGCAGCTTATCTTGGCCGTGTAGCTTGATCAACCGTCACATCCGACGGAATTAAACCTTCTGGGCCTACTATTCTAACCATGTCTTTACACAATTCAGCCTTGCAGTATTCACACAAACGGCGTCATCACTTGTTCGACTTTGCTGATCAAAGACAGACCGCGATGACTGCCCGGTATTGACGTTGGAATTAGGTGGGGCCCGAGGCAAAAGCTGCGTGAGCCACCGAAATTCATTTCACGATTCACATCCCTGCCAGCATCTTTTCCAGACATGGAGGTGAGCAAAGGGACAACCGCGCGGCAAAAACACAAGCTAAATCGAATGCGTTGCAGGACGTCGTGCCCCAAGACATGAACCTCTTTCGCGCGCCCGCCGCGGCCAGGGCTGCCAAAACCCTGGACAGGGCCCTCTTTGCCCGCACAATACCGTCGGCCGCCGTCTCGGTGCGCGAGAACAAGCTGCTCTCCAAATATAGAAAGGAACTGGAACTCACAAAGGAGATGTTTGTGCTGCAAAACTTCCAGCAGGTGGCCCCGGACCCGGATCCTGCGCTGGCTGCCAGAGGCAACAAATGCCTAGTCCTCAAAACGCATATCAAGCCCCAGGGTACGCTCTCATACATGGACGGGGAGAAGAGCGGGTTTGGGCTGACGATTGCGCAGAACCGTCGACTTGGAGCCGAGAGCTCCAGGAGGCTTCCAAGAGGGGAGATCTCAAAGTGATTCCCTTTGATATCAATATCGACTACAGCCTGTGGAGTTATGGTATGGTGCTTACTCTCCGCCTCATAGAACGAATCTGCTGACAATGACAGTGGACGTTATGAGAAGCATCCTCCCCGAGGAGCTGCAAAACGAAATACCTAGCGGCTTTAACACAGCCGGCCATGTTGGTACGTCAACCTCCCATCCGCCGCGCCAAAACCTCCCACTCACATGACAGCTCATCTCAATCTCCGCGACCAATACCTACCCTACAAGCACATTATTGCCCAAGTCATCATCGACAAGAACCCCGGCATCAAGACTGTCATCAACAAGGTCGACAATGTCGGCACCGCGAGCGAGTTCCGCACCTTTGCCTACGAAGTGCTCGCCGGGCCCGACGACCTCCTGGTCGACGTCAGCGAGGCCGGCTGCCACTTCCGCTTCGACTACGCCAAGGTCTACTGGAACAGCAAGCTCGGGACCGAGCACCAGCGCGTCACCGCCCTCTTCCGGCCCGGCGAGGTCGTCGCCGACGTCATGGCCGGCATCGGCCCCTTTGCCGTGCCCGCCGGCAAGAAGCACGTCTTTGTCTGGGCCAACGACAAGAACCCGGAGAGCTACCGGTGTCTCGCCGACAGCATCCAGCGCAACAAGGTCGGTGCCTTTGTGCGCGCCTTCAACGACGACGGCCACAGCTTCATCCGCCGCGCGTGCGACGAGGTCCTTGCCGCCTCGCGCCGCGGTGAGGCCGCGGTGCTGCCCGCGCCGAAGATCTCGCGCAGCGCGCCGCC